ACAGGCCTTAGGTCGTTCAAATGATTGTTCATATGGGACAGGAATTATTTCAGAGCATTTCCATGAGAGTGGTAGAGAATCGCTTTGAATCAAAACATAACGTTAGAATCAAATAAAACACGTAAGACTAAGAGCAGAGACACGCCCACTCAAATGTAAACAAACTTTTTAGCCACATTAAAAATGGCCGCCAACAAACTCAAATGTGACCTCTTTAACATTAACCACAAAAATTTCCTTGCTCTTGTCATTGTCTTCGTCTGTGTTGTTGTTGTTGTTGTTGTTGCTATCATCTGTGTGGTCATTTTGAATCGTCTCTTTGACAGTTGTCAGGAGAAATCGTGGTTGTCAAAGCGAGCGTAAAAAGAATTCAGTTTGTTTACTTTGATCCAGTTAGGAGTTAGAAACAGCTGTGTTAGTCAATCAAAAGGGAAGAGACAAATTGTGGTGAGTCAGAATAGAATAGAACTGTGACTACTGTGAACAAGAAAAACTTTATACAGAATCAGATAGACAATCGTAATGTGTTTCAACATAACTGTCCCAACTTAAGAATTAGCTGTATTAACCTTTCTCGTGCTCGTGCTCGTGCTGCAACAAAACAAACATTGTAAGAGACGTAATTGACGAAATGAACATCGACCTGTTGTGCATTACAGAAACTGGGCTTCGAACAGATGTCGATGAATAGCCAACATTCAACCACCCGGCCGGCTTTGAACTTAAATCGTTTTCACGTGGCTCGCGTGGAGGCGGAATTGCTTTTATTCATTGGCGAGGTTTACCATTTGCGATGGTCCATCGTATCGTACATTTGAATCAGCCTCTGCTTTCATCAGATCCGTGTGATCTGTATCTATCGACCACCACCTAACAAGAAAAATAAATTAACAAGTAAAGAATTTTTCTAAGAATTCCAAGATCTACTCTTTCAACTAGAGCAAGCTGCCTCCCCCTTTTACGTCATAGGGGCTTTCAACGTTCACTTTGATGTTCCATCTGCACCAGACACCTGACGCATTGTTTCTCAATTCTTGACGATCATAATCTTAAGATAATCAAAGAACCGACACATCGTAGACCTGCTGATTACCAACACTGCTGACCCACATGTTCTTAAACATCAGGTTCTAGAAAAGGCTATCTCTGACCATTCTTTTTTGATAGCCGACATCTCCAAACCGAAACAAGAAAGAAGAGGCACTTCGGGACGACGTGAGCAAAACACTGACAAGTCTATCATCCCTAAATGCAGACACATTTCATGACTCTCTGAAAGCGGCAATCGACCAACATGTGCCAATGGTAGAAAGAAAGGCTTGGAAAAACGTCTCAAATGTTCCCACTAAAGCGTTTTGTTATCAAAAGTACAGTCGTTGGTATAGAGCGTAAACAGGACAGGGGAGTTTACAAGCCTTGGGGTGCACCGGTGTTCGTGAATATTATTAGGTCGGATTTTATACCATTTAATTTTACATATTGAGGTCGATTGGTTAAGAACTCAAGAATCCAAGCTATAATGTTCTTGTTTATGTTCATGTTAATTAATTTGGAAACCATTATGTGCGGTTGGATTGTGTTGAATGCGGATGAAAAATCAGCAAAAAGTATCCTGTAGTAATTTCTTGGTGTGTCTATGTGTTTGTAGATGTTATCTAAGAACACGAGAATGGCATACTCCACGCCCCTCTTGGCTCGAGAGGCAAATTGCATGTTATCCTGTATGTCTTCTGTTGATTTTCTCAGTTCTTTCAAAACCAGTTTTTCTAAACATTTCATGAGGACTGGTGTTAAAGCGACAGGTCTTAGGTCGTTCAAATTTTGTATTGATTGTTTATATGGGACAGGAATTATTTCAGAGCATTTCCATGAGAGTGGTATTATTCGTTCTTTCAAAGACATATTGAAAATATCAGTATAAATGCAAGATAAATGAGTAGAACACATTTTAATAATTTTACTTTTTACTCCATCGAGTCTACTCGCATTGTGAGCTTTCAGACGATTGAACATGATCTTGACCTCTTTAACATTAACCACATTGTCTTCGTCTGTGTTGTTGTTGTTGTTGTTGTTGCTATCATCTGTGTGGTCATTTTGAATCGTCTCTTTGACAGTTGTCAGGAGAAATCGTGGTTGTCAAAGCGAGCGTAAAAAGAATTCAGTTTGTTTACATACTGACTTGGGTTCATGTCTTGTGTAGGAGTGTTGGTGCGTCTCCAACTATAGTTTTTAAACATTGCCACGTCATTTTTGTGTTGTTAGTAGTGAAATGTTGTTCTAACTTTTCTTTGTAAACATGCTTACACTCTCTTATCTTTTTCTTTAACATATTATTTGTTGTTTTTAATTTGTCTTTCAGTTTGAATGCCTTCTTCTTCTCATTTAATATTTCCTTTAACTCCTTGCTAACCCATAGCTTGTTATTTGGGTAGTAGATAATTTCTTTTTTAGATGAATATATGTGTGTGTACATATGCGTGTGTGTGCCCGTGAGCGCATGTATGCGCGTTTGTGTGTTTTAATGTGTGGCAATGGTGTCACGCCTACCCCCACCTCCCTAAAAAAGCACCAAAAAAAAGCAAAATTGAGAAATCCGAGGGTCTTGTACAGTTATCAGCGGTGTGTGAGTGTTGTGTTTGTGTTTGTGTGTGTGTGTGTGTGTGTGTGTGTGTGTGTGTGTGTGTGTGTGTGTGTTTGTGTGTGTGTGTGTGTGTTTGTGTGTGTGTGTGTGTGTGTGTGTGTAGACTAATATTAGCCATGGAACTTTTAATTCTTACCCTGGCCCTATTGAATTATTTTCGCCATGTTTACAGGTTTGTTGTGAACTCTAGATCACACCACCATATCCATGTGTCACCTTATGTCAACAACCAAGAGACCTATGTCCAACACACTGCGTGGGCCAGTCATACACCACAAGCTTTCAGAACTGTGTCGGACAAGCGAGGACACATGGACACCCTCAAACAGGGAAAACAACTAAGTACACGAAAGATCAGCTGTTAAACGTAAACAACCAAAGTCTGAGTGTACCATCAAACGTTCTAACTACTTTGATCCAGTTAGGAGTTAGAAACAGCTGTGTTAGTCAATCAAAAGTGAAGAGAGACAAGGAAACAGAGACAAATTGTGGTGAGTCAGAATAGAATAGAACTGTGACTACAGTGAACAAGAAAAACTTTATACAGAAGCAGATAGACAATCGTAATGTGTTTCAACATAACTGTCCCAACTTAAGAATTAGCTGTATTAACCTTTCTCGTGCTGCAACAAAACAAACATTGTAAGAGACGTAATTGACGAAATGAACATCGACCTGTTGTGCATTACAGAAACTGGGCTTCGAACAGATGTCGATGAATCTATCATAGCCAACATTCAACCACCCGGCTTTGAACTTAAATCGTTTTCACGTGGCTCGCGTGGAGGCGGAATTGCTTTTATTCATTGGCGAGGTTTACCATTAAAGTTCATCTGCGATGGTCCATCGTATCGTACATTTGAATCAGCCTCTGCTTTCATCAGATCCGTGTGATCTGTATCTATCGACCACCACCTAACAAGAAAAATAAATTAACATGTAAAGAATTTTTCTAAGAATTCCAAGATCTACTCTTTCAACTAGAGCAAGCTGCCTCCCCCTTTTACGTCATAGGGGCTTTCAACGTTCACTTTGATGTTCCATCTGCACCAGACACCTGACGCATTGTTTCTCAATTCTTGACGATCATAATCTTAAGATAATCAAAGGACCGACACATCGTAGACCTGCTGATTACCAACACTGCTGACCCACATGTTCTTAAACATCAGGTTCTAGAAAAGGCTATCTCTGACCATTCTTTTTTGATAGCCGACATCTCCAAACCGAAACAAGAAAGAAGAGGCACTTTGGGACGACGTGAGCAAAACACTGACAAGTCTATCATCCCTAAATGCAGACACATTTCATGACACTCTGAAAGCGGCAATCGACCAACATGTGCCAATGGTAGAAAGAAAGGCTTGGAAAAACGTCTCAAATGTTCCCACTAAAGCGTTTTGTTATCAAAAGTACAGTCGTTGGTATAGAGCGTAAACAGGACAGGGGAGTTTACAAGCCTTGGGGTGCACCGGTGTTCGTGAATATTATTAGGTCGGATTTTATACCATTTAATTTTACATATTGAGGTCGATTGGTTAAGAACTCAAGAATCCAAGCTATAATGTTCTTGTTTATGTTCATGTTAATTAATTTGGAAACCATTATGTGCGGTTGGATTGTGTTGAATGCGGATGAAAAATCAGCAAAAAGTATCCTGCAGTAATTTCTTGGTGTGTCTATGTGTTTGTAGATGTTATCTAAGAACACGAGAATGGCATACTCCACGCCCCTCTTGGCTCGAGAGGCAAATTGCATGTTATCCTGTATGTCTTCTGTTGATTTTCTCAGTTCTTTCAAAACCAGTTTTTCTAAACATTTCATGAGGACTGGTGTTAAAGCGACAGGTCTTAGGTCGTTCAAATTTTGTATTGATTGTTTATATGGGACAGGAATTATTTCAGAGCATTTTTATGAGAGTTGTATTATTCGTTCTTTCAAAGACATATTGAAAATATCAGTATAAATACAAGATAACTGAGTAGAACACATTTTAATAATTTTACTTTTTACTCCATCGGGTCCACTCGCTTTGTGAGCTTTCAGACGATTGAACATGATCTTGACCTCTTTAAACATTAACCACAAAAATGTCCTTGCTCTTGTCATTGTCTTCGTCTGTGTTGTTGTTGTTGTTGTTGTTGCTATCATCTGTGTGGTCATTTTGAATCGTCTCTTTGGTCTCTCAGCGGGTCGGAGAAATCGTGGTTGTCAAAGCGAGCGTAAAAAGAATTCAGTTTGTTTACATACTGACTTGGGTTCATGTCTTGTGTAGGAGTGTTGGTGCGTCTCCAACTATAGTTTTTAAACATTGCCACGTCATTTTTGTGTTGTTAGTAGTGAAATGTTGTTCTAACTTTTCTTTGTAAACATGCTTACACTCTCTTATCTTTTTCTTTAACATATTATTTGTTGTTTTTAATTTGTCTTTCAGTTTGAATGCCTTCTTCTTCTCATTTAATATTTCCTTTAACTCCTTGCTAACCCATAGCTTGTTATTTGGGTAGTAGATAATTTCTTTTTTAGATGAATATATGTGTGTGTACATATGCGTGTGTGTGCCCGTGAGCGCATGTATGCGCGTTTGTGTGTTTTAATGTGTGGCAATGGTGTCACGCCTACCCCCACCTCCCTAAAAAAGCACCAAAAAAAAGCAAAATTGAGAAATCCGAGGGTCTTGTACAGTTATCAGCGGTGTGTGAGTGTTGTGTTTGTGTTTGTGTGTGTGTGTGTGTGTGTGTGTGTGTGTGTGTGTGTGTGTGTGTGTGTAGACTAATATTAGCCATGGAACTTTTAATTCTTACCCTGGCCCTATTGAATTATTTTCGCCATGTTTACAGGTTTGTTGTGAACTCTAGATCACACCACCATATCCATGTGTCACCTTATGTCAACAACCAAGAGACCTATGTCCAACACACTGCGTGGGCCAGTCATACACCACAAGCTTTCAGAACTGTGTCGGACAAGCGAGGACACATGGACACCCTCAAACAGGGAAAACAACTAAGTACACGAAAGATCAGCTGTTAAACGTAAACAACCCAAGTCTGAGTGTACCATCAAACGTTCTAACTACTTTGATCCAGTTAGGAGTTAGAAACAGCTGTGTTAGTCAATCAAAAGTGAAGAGAGACAAGGAAACAGAGACAAATTGTGGTGAGTCAGAATAGAATAGAACTGTGACTACTGTGAACAAGAAAAACTTTATACAGAATCAGATAGACAATCGTAATGTGTTTCAACATAACTGTCCCAACTTAAGAATTAGCTGTATTAACCTTTCTCGTGCTGCAACAAAACAAACATTGTAAGAGACGTAATTGACGAAATGAACATCGACCTGTTGTGCATTACAGAAACTGGGCTTCGAACAGATGTCGATGAATAGCCAACATTCAACCACCCGGCTTTGAACTTAAATCGTTTTCACGTGGCTCGCGTGGAGGCGGAATTGCTTTTATTCATTGGCGAGGTTTACCATTTAAGTTCATCTGCGATGGTCCATCGTATCGTACATTTGAATCAGCCTCTGCTTTCATCAGATCCGTGTGATCTGTATCTATCGACCACCACCTAACAAGAAAAATAAATTAACAAGTAAAGAATTTTTCTAAGAATTCCAAGATCTACTCTTTCAACTAGAGCAAGCTGCCTCCACCTTTTACGTCATAGGGGCTTTCAACTTTCACTTTGATGTTCCATCTGCACCAGACACCTGACGCATTGTTTCTCAATTCTTGACGATCATAATCTTAAGATAATCAAAGAACCGACACATCGTAGACCTGCTGATTACCAACACTGCTGACCCACATGTTCTTAAACATCAGGTTCTAGAAAAGGCTATCTCTGACCATTCTTTTTTGATAGCCGACATCTCCAAACCGAAACAAGAAAGAAGAGGCACTTCGGGACGACGTGAGCAAAACACTGACAAGTCTATCATCCCTAAATGCAGACACATTTCATGACACTCTGAAAGCGGCAATCGACCAACATGTGCCAATGGTAGAAAGAAAGGCTTGGAAAAACGTCTCAAATGTTCCCACTAAAGCATTTTGTTATCAAAAGTACAGTGTAGAGCGTAAACAGGACAGGGGAGATTACACAGCCTTGGGGTGCACCGGTGTTCGTGAATATTATTAGGTCGGATTTTATACCATTTAATTTTACATATTGAGGTCGATTGGTTAAGAACTCAAGAATCCAAGCTATAATGTTCTTGTTTATGTTCATGTTAATTAATTTGGAAACCATTATGTGCTGTTGGATTGTGTTGAGTGCGGATGAAAAATCAGCAAAAAGTATCCTGCAGTAATTTCTTGGTGTGTCTATGTGTTTGTAGATGTTATCTAAGAACACGAGAATGGCATACTCCACGCCCCTCTTGGCTCGAGAGGCAAATTGCATGTTATCCTGTATGTCTTCCTTTGATTTTCTCAGTTCTTTCAAAACCAGTTTTTCTAAACATTTCATGAGGACTGGTGTTAAAGCGACAGGTCTTAGGTCGTTCAAATTTTGTATTGATTGTTTATATGGGACAGGAATTATTTCAGAGCATTTCCATGAGAGTGGTATTATTCGTTCTTTCAAAGACATATTGAAAATATCAGTATAAATGCAAGATAAATGAGTAGAACACATTTTAATAATTTTACTTTTTACTCCATCGAGTCTACTCGCATTGTGAGCTTTCAGACGATTGAACATGATCTTGACCTCTTTAACATTAACCACATTGTCTTCGTCTGTGTTGTTGTTGTTGTTGTTGTTGCTATCATCTGTGTGGTCATTTTGAATCGTCTCTTTGACAGTTGTCAGCTGGTCGGAGAAATCGTGGTTGTCAAAGCGAG